TATCACACAATTCTAGAAAATTGGCAAGATGTTTATTTGATACAATTTGGATAATAATAGGTTTAAGTTCAAATGAATTAGCCACTACGACGGGTTTTTGAATACTACAATGAATTTCATCCACCGTAGGGTTTGCATAATCTCTTAAAGGTCTAAACTCTCCAACATTTTGATTATTTTGATTTGTCATTTCTTGAAATTTTTAGTAATTTTTAAATTTTTAATTTTTTTAATAGTTCTATCTAATTCAGAATCACAAGGCATAAGTCCTGTGGAACCTGAACTATGCATACATTACTATAAAACACATAAAATGAAATAAAATGAAATAAAAATAAAAACACACAAACAAGAACACTACAATATTCCTATAATAAATCTTAAAGTTTAAATAAGTCTTTGTAAAAATAGAAATTTTTCTTTCTAAAAAATTCTTTTTGAAAACTTTTGCAAATTTCTGTAATTTAACTCTCTCTATTTTTACCTCCCCGGCAACGACACTAAAAACTTGATCCTGACTTTCTTTATAGATGTAAAATGCGATGTGTGTGATTACATGCTTAATTTCCTTAATAGCTATTCTTAATTTACAATAAAGTTAAAAACTTGATCCAAAGCAAAAGCTAAGTAAGTTTTCAACTATGAAATAAATAAAAATATGAAATAAATAAGAATACAATTATAGTATTTAAATATGGGATACTACGCAAGTATACATATCGTTATATAATATAGTACTTTTTGATTAAACCCCGAAATATTGAACCCACAGGAAGATTAACAATATGTACTTTAGAAAATTAAAAAGTTTAGAAGTTTTAGATGAAAAAAATTTACTTAGTACAATATTATGACTTAAACTTAAGATGTTAAAATAGGAATGAAAGTTCGATTAATGAAAGTTCAATAGGAATGAAAGTTCGATTCTTTTTGTAATTTTTGATAAATGAAAATAAAGTAAGCAACTAATTAACTTTACTAAATACTTGCAATATGAAGGCAATATAAGTAAAATATCTTTATTTTTTTTTATCATGAATCAATAATAAGTAGAGAAATTCTATTGTGAAAGTATTCTAAATGTGTTGTGCCAAATAGGAGCAATAATATTCTTTACCCTTCTTAGAGTTGCTATAAAGAACATTGACTAATCTATAGTTTAAATAGTCTTGAAGACCAGTTAGGTAGGAAAGATACGAGATACGAGCTCTAACTCTAGAGTTCCCTCTTCTCCCTCCACCTGGGGGCTAACATCTTGTATCAAAACCATTAACTATAAATCAAATTGGAGGCTTTAGCTTGTCACTCTAAAGTCCTCTAATTTTGCACCCTTGAAAAGTTTATTTCCCTATTTATTCGCACTCAACCCTATGAACTACATTATGATCCATGCAATCAATATGTGATTCTAAACCATTTGTTGACTGAGACAATACCATATCAGATCTTACATGTTTTCACAACAAGTATTAACATCTTAATTGGTCAAATCAAGAAGTAAATGAAGTCCAAGGTTTTAAATCATCACAACTTCTTCCAACATTGAAGTCTAATACTTCACACAACTTCCTTTCAACACTTAATCACTAATCATTTTAAGGAAAAATATAAAGAAAACTACTCAGAATCCATGGAGAAAACACAACCACACATGAGTTTAGAAGTAGAAATCATGCACACAAACAAGAAATCTAAATTAAAATCAAGTGTAGTCACAAAGATAAACACTTATCTCAAATCATCTCCATAAAATGTCTTGAAGTTCATTTGAATTCTCTTCCTTCACTCATAATACAAAATAAACACTCAAAATAAACTAAAAAGAAAGTGGTCGGCGGTGGCGACCATGGGCGGCAGCGACGGCGACGATGGGCGGTAGCGGCGACGATGGGCGGGATGGTGGCTGTAAAATATGATGGGTGGCTGACCTCTTGTCTTGATGATCCAAGTCTTCTTTTAATAAAAATTTAAAAGGTGTCTTCATGTCCCTTCAAAATATGTCTCTATTCAACGAATCTTCTAGAAGTTGCCTTCTCAAAATCCAATTGAATGAATTTTCATGTCCATGAATTTTCGTGTCCATGGACTATTTCCATGTCCATGAGATATTTCCCACGTTTTTACCAAGGGCTGCTTCAAACACCTCTTAAAAAATTCATCTAAATTCAATGAATCATCAGATAACTATTTCTAGCGCTTAAGCGCGGGGTACGTGGCCCTTAGGCGCCCCAATTCATTTTTGCACCTTTCTTCATTTTGCTCAAAATTTGACCCTTTTTCACTTCTTTTAGCATTTTTCATCCATTTGATTGTATTTGAAAAAATAACACACAAATATCTTTCATTAAAGCACAATATCTCAAAAATAGGTATAAAAATAATATATATTCTAGGTGTATCATATTACAAGAAGGATGTTCATTGGTTCAATTGCTTAAGCGAGAGAGATGCACAGTGTCCCCTTAAATGAAGAAAGAGATTTTGAAAGATGTCAAAGCTGTCTGATAGTCTCAAAGATCAGCTGAAATTTTGTCAGCTCGCATTCCTGTCAGATTCTGCCTAGAAAGTCGAATTGATACTACCATCACTACAACCGATTTTGTTACCGTTGCTACTCCAAGGTCAGCAGGACGTCGACTGGTCAAGCCACGTCTGGGTCCGAGAATACCACCAGATGTTGCTTGTAAGAGTGCCCCAAAAAAGGAGAAAATAAAGAAGTCACCTGGGACTATATTTGGTCTGCACCGTGGGGAGCATGCCTCTCACCGACACACTGATGCCTCTGTTGAGACACCCCGTCTCAAGACATCATCATCAAAGAAGAATGTATGGGTACCCAAGGTTGTCGTACCAATACGATTTAAAGAGCCCACAAGGCAAGATTGTTGAATGAAGAAAGGGTATGAGGTATCAGACACCATTACAGCTATTGCTACCGAGTTTGATGAACAAGCGGAGAATGTTCAGGAAAGTCCTCCAAATCTCAAGAAGATCCAGGAAGCGATATTTGAAGAAAAAGTTGGAAAGCTAGTGACTGAGATTTCTGAGTTAGCTAAAGAGCATGGAGTGGATATTGATGATGATGAAGACTTTGATTTTAATGATTATTTCAATGAAGACTTTATAGATATTCATGTCATCGAGACTAGAGCTGCTACATCAACCTCTTGTTGAAGGGAACACCATAGATGATTTGCACAGAGTTGTTCTGCTAAGAGATGAGAAAATCAGTCAAATGGAGAATAGAATGGAAGAGATGGCCACCACCATGGTCGCCATGGCTACAGTTCATGGACAGTCCCAGTCGCAACAGTTAGCTTCTATGAAAGTAAACTAGCCAAAGATAGTTCACGTTACTGATGAAAGGAGAGAAGTTGTCTCTGCCAACAGAGACGATCAACAAAAGAAAGATTCCCCACCAAATTTAATACTAGAAAAATATATCAAACAGTAGGTCGACAACAAGTTTGGGAGTCCTTAGCCCAATCTAAAGGTGGTGCATTGATTTTAAAGGGTAGACCTTACCCAAAGGAGTTTAATGTTGTGCCCTACCCTAAGGGTTTTGTGTCACTGAACTTTATGATGTTCAACGGGACCGAAAATCTCAGATAGGACGTAGCACATTTCCGAGCCAGTTATGGCAACATTAGAGGTAATGAAACTTTAATCTTCTGTCAATTTGTCAGCAACTTGTCAGGGATAACATTTGACTAGCATGTTGAGTTGCCCAATAGATTAATGAAGACATTCGCCAAGTTAGAACAGTTGTTCATGAAGAGATTTGCTGGAGCACAACATCATCTTTCTATTGAAGATCTTGTAGTGAAAATGTGTAAATAAAATTAAACATGCTAAAGGAAAAATCATAACACAATAATAATACACAATAACACCATAATAACAATAGTCTAATAACACCACAGAACCGTCATAATACCACTCATATAAAACCATAATACACCTCAATAACGATATAAAAATACACCAATAACACCATAATAACACCGCAATAACACCCCAGTAACACCACAAAAATATCATAAAAAATCTCAATAACACCACAAAAGAACTATAATAACATCTCAATAACACCTGAATAACATCACAATAACACCGAAATAATACCATAATAGAACTCTAATAGTCGAATACCACTATAGAGCCACCACAATACCACTAAATAACATCGTAATAAAACCTAAATAACATCATAAATTACAACACAATAATACCACAAAAAGCCGCAATAACACCATAATAAAGCCAGTCGAAAATAACACCATTGAACCGCCACAATATCACTTAAATAACACTGCAATAACATCTCAATACCACTATAATAATACACCTCAAAAATACCTTAATAACACCACAACAATATCACAAAAATATCTCAATAAAAACACAAAAATATCGCAATAACGCCATAATTAATGATATTTCATATGCAGCTAAATTCAACTTTGTTTCAAGCTTATTGTCTTTATTTTCAGAATCCATCACCTTCATTTCAAACATCTCGTATCATTTTTAATTTTCATCACCTCTATTTCAAATGTCTCGCCGTTTTTTACAAATTCCATTATTAATACTTCTCGTCCGTCGAGAGAGACTAAAAAATCACTCTGCAAAACCCTCCCCGATGACATGAGAACAAAATGAAGATTTATTCAGCGCGATGGGTTTTGTTTTTGAAAAAAATGTGCTAAATCGGGCTGGATTATGCATTAAAATATAAATATTTTTTTTTTTGATTGTCACATCATAGAAATTTCATTGGACTCCCCAAATATAATATTTTCTAACAGACTTTTAGGCCTCATATTTTGGTAAAATATTTGCGTACATAAGATGTACGTCTGTAACATCCGTGTAACTAACTTATTTATTCCCATAAAACTACAGAAACACAGAACTCATTTGTAGATTATAGGGAGATTACATGGAGGTTACAGAGGGGCTGCCCCCCTGAATAACCCATGCACAAATATTTTCTCATATTTTGGACCGGCTTCCTCTCTAACAGTCCTGCTAACACCTCGTTCTTCGTTCGTATGAGCCTTTCAACTTCTCGCTTTGCGGAAGGGCAAAATTCTGCTGGTTCTCGTTTCCTGTCGAAATGGGGAAACCTGGTGGCGTCTTCTTCTTCTTCCTTTCGTTTTTTCTCCTTCCTTTCTCGACATCCTTTTACCTACCTGGCGTTGCTCCCAGCGATTTCCAGAGGGTAATTCAACTGTTACTCTAGCGTTGACCCAGATCTAGCTAGATGTTTGGATGCTTTCTGATTTCATTTTGAGATCTAGGCTTCCTGTTTATTTTGTATGGGTTTCAGATTTGTATGCGTGAATTTTATAGTTAAGCAAGCTGCGGGGTACTTGAATCGCGCAGTTTTTAATCGGTTTGGTGTAATCCCGCTCCAGAATTCGCTGCGTTTTTTGTTTTCACCTTTCTTAGCTGTCGAGATCCTTTTTGGAGCTTAACTAATGTTGCTAACTGTTTATTGGGGCTTTCTTGTGCTACATTTTCTTTGTTGGCCAAAGTGGCGGGAGGGCTTTGATTCCAGATTATTTTAATTGAGAAGCGTTGTTTTGCACTGTGACTGCATGTTTTTGTTGTGAAGCACAGTTTGCAGATTCCAGCAACAGGGTCTGTTTGGCACAGCCGCAGCTTCACAGCTTTTCAGCTACAGGCCCTAGGAAGCTTCTGCGGGAAGCTGACTGTCTTTTTGGTGCAGCTGTGTGAAATTAACTGTCGGGTAGCTGTCTATGAAAAAAAGATCATACTGTCTCTGTTTGATAATACTGTTTAAAAGAAGAATATAACAACCATTTTTTTGGAAATTCAATAAGCCCCCAAAGTGCTAATAACTTCTGTCAATCGGCTGGATCAAGCTGAAAGCCAGAGCAGACAAATCCAGCATGAAAAGAGTGAGAATGGAGAAACGGTACAGAGAAACTCCAGATCCACCAAAAATAATAAGAAATAATGAAAATGACAGAAACGGAAAATAGATAAAGGAGGAAAAGCCATCGAATCCGCAAAAATGTCAAAAAATCTTGCTCAAATTTTTTTCTTCAGTAATCAAATTTGGTCATTCTAGGTTAGGGAAGAAGAAAGCACAGGAGATTCGCGAAAGATGCAGCGGGGAAGTAGCTAGGGTAGAAGAGAAAAATGCGGGGCAAAAGGTAATATTTACGGTGCGAACGCGGTGCCGCAGGGTTGATCTCGTGGCCCACTTTCCTCCAGCTTCGTCGACGCTGGGCTGCGAAGCTGGTAACCAAATACGCGAATATGTACCATCTGAATTCATGATGTTTTTATACGTGCAATTAAAAAATAATCAGTAGGATACTTTTTGTATTTATTTTGTCTTATATATCTTTTCTATTTATCCATGATACAAATATAGGGTCAAGAACCCCTCCTCAAACCTTGTATTGTTGGGAGATTCATGCATTGGGTGCACTCTTTTATGGCTATATTGGTATAACATGTAGTTTATATTGCTTAAAATTGTAGCAATCTTCTTTCTTATGTTTACTGGGAGCACACTATTCAAATTTGATTTATCTATTTAATCGAGACACTTGCATTTGCCATCTATGGTGTCAAATCATTAGTTTCAATGACTGTTTAAATGAAGTGTATATATAATTTCATAACTATTTGCTTATTTTCTGCTAGGACAAAAGGGTTAGTGATTAATATTTACATGGAAACCTGCATACGCATATTTAAGCTCGTAGATTTACTTTCTTTCTTTGGCAAATACACTGGTTTTAGTAATTGTTTCCTTCCTCTTTGCCACCAGCTTTTATCTACCAAACATGAAGCCAGTTTTCACAAATGCGCTTTACAATTCATTATTTATCTTAAATTCCTTACCTTAGTAGTAAGTGCAACGCTTACTATATTTTAGTTCTTTTTTTTCAGGGGGCTGAGCTACAGGTAAAAGTGAATAAACTTTCGTCTACAAAAACACAGCTTCCATATGATCACTATTTCCTGGAGTACTGCAAGCCAGAAACAATTGTGAACAGTGCTGAAAATTTGGGAGAGGTCCTTCGCGGCGATCGAATTGAGAATTCTGTCTATTCGGTAGATCTTTATCTTTTTTTTCTACTTTAATGTTTATTTATGCATTCTAATAAATATTTATGGTTTGCAAATGTGTTTTTAGTTCCAAAGTATGCAAGTGTGTTTGACAATTTTCTTCCCAATTTTAGTTTGGATTTTGCATTATGGATAGAACATTGAATTTTTTTTTTAATTTTGAAAAATGAATCATGCACAACTCAGTTTAAAATGAGGATTGACGAGTCTTGCAAAGTAGCCTGCCGACAAAAGGTTACCGCCGAAGGTGTCAAGAACTTCAAAGAGAAGATTGATGATGAGTATCGAGTTAACATGTAAGTGCACCTTGTGTTCAAGGCCTAAAAAACCGAAGTTATGTTTGTTAATTGTAATTAGTGAAACTATTTATTTACCAATTTTGCTAGAACTAAGAGGGCCCAAACTTGATATGCCTACTTTAGCTTATTTGGATTTTCTTAATCTCTATATCAGTTTCTTCTGTAATTTTACTAGAAATATGTTGTATTTTAAACTCATGCTTCTATAAGCTTGTTCGCACAATAGTGGTGCCTTTATTTGTTTGTAAAACAAAAACTGGAGAATTAATGCATTCATTACATGATATTAGATTAATATTGTGGTTAAAGCTAGAACTATTGCTAACTATGAGGTTGAAAAACCTAATTTCCCTGAATTTTATTAATGGCTTGCCAAAATGTTCACTCCAAATCATCATTATGAACATATGAAGAAAGATATTTACATACATACCACACAATTTCTATTTACATATTTAACTCCTGAGTTTGATATTTACACGTATAATATCTTGGTGTCATAAACCTATTCATGAAAATGTGTATTTCACTTTTAGAAAGGTAGTGTTGGTGGTAAATCTGATGTGATGTTAAAGATTTGATTGGTATATATTTAAATATGAATGTCAAGTGCTAGATATGTAAGTGCATAATCATTTTTTGATATGTATGTAAATGCCTTGAGAAAAAATATTTTGAGCAAATGGTCTTCAATGTTTGACGCGAGTAGAGTGTAATACCATTTGTTATATGTTTCATTTTTTTAATATAGTGCTGACATTGAGGGTCATCTTAATGCAATGGTTAGATACATAGAGCCTATGAAAAGGGAAGTATCATTAGCAAATTTTTTTTTTCTTTAGTATATAGTGGAACATAAATAATTATTATTTAAAAAAGAAATTTTAACTTTTAAATATATTAAAAAATTACTTAATGCTTATTTTAAAATTTGCCGCTAACATGAGTATTAAAAACAAATCTTTGAACATTGAATTTGAAAATCACTGTAAGTCTTCATTAGAGCCATCGAAATAATAATTTGCTTTCTCCCCTGCCTCATCCTCAATTGTACTCATGTTTTCTCATTTGCCTTCCTCATATTAAGTCTCAGTCAACTTCCTCTTGTATAATTAATAATAATTAATAGAAATATTTATTAGATTTTAAAATAATAACTATATTAATGGTAGCAACTTCAATTTCATCTTCACTTGTATATTATTTGGGTAAGGAATTTTGTTAAATTAGTTTTTCTCATATTTAATTTAAAAAAATTCTTGATCTAATTGTGCATGCTCATCAGAAATGAGGTGAAGCACACTGAGTTTTGCCTCATATTATGTAATACTTAAGCCTCATGTTGTACCCAATAAGCCCTATGCCTCAATGTGAATTTTTCAAAAAGATATTGAGGTGAGCCTCATGGCATGCCTTTAATTGCGAAATTTTAAACCATGCTTCAAAGGTATCAATAAGCAAATAAGTTTTTTTGTCTTTATTCATTATTTTTATTTATGTAATGTTGTACCCACGATATGATTTTAGACAATCATTTCTATCACGAAATCATTCCTATAATCAAAATTGATAATATTGGTATTTTCTTGGGGAAGTAAAAAAAAATTATTTTAATTTATTGTTGATGAAAAACAAATCATTCTTAATGAGATTAATAAGGTAAATCATAAGGAAATCCAATTAAATCTCCTTGGCAAGGTTCAAATTAGAACTATTTTTGAAAAATTCGGTCTGAAAATAGTCAAACAAAAATAAAGAGCATCACTGACTGATTTTTTGCTAAAATTTGTGCTATTGGTATCATAAAACTCTTTTTGTTTTTCTTCTTTGTGAAGAATTATTCAATGAGAAAACCATTCTCACTAAAGCAGGACATTGCCATATGATATAGATTACTTAAAAATTAAATAAAAAGGATACAATTGATTATTTTAAGAAAAGAGTTATTTGGAAGTATTATGTTTATAGAGTTGTACAACATTTTTTGTTATGAGCACTACTGAAAAGGATTGTGGAAAACCGTGATTGTTTGTTTATTATAAACCTCTTTTTTAAAGGCTTTATAATGATTCATTATCCAATTCTTATTAAGAAGGATCTTCTTAATTGCCTCTATATGGCAACCGTCACTTATAAATTTAATATAAAATTTGCTATTGGTAGATTCAAATCGAGGAAAAAGATTTATATGAAATGACATTCAAAATTTTATTCTATTACTGTGACTAGAATGTATTGCTTCCTACTTAAAAATGCTTTTAATGAAATTTAAAATACAGTTAATTATATTTTATTATTTTTATTACATATTCACAGTATTTAGATGATTTTCTATTCTTTCAAATTATTTAAATCAAAATTTAAAAAACCTTGTAGTGTTTTAGCGACAAATCTTGAAAATGCCTTGGTTATTTCTGGTCCAAAAAAAAGCTATGTTAAACCAATATTTACTTGTTGGGTTACTACATTATCAATGGGATTATCATCCTTAATTAAAGAAGTATAAAATTCACGTCTAAATTTCTTGCGAAATTATTGCTATAAAGTAGCTGCAATGATTTCTCAGACCAGTAAACTATGCAGTTGAATTCTGTAAAGAACTTGCTACCAATTTTATTATTCATCATAATATACCAAAAAAAAAAATCCACAAGCTTGATCTAATGATAATTTTAGTTGTTTGCATCATTACTAATTAAAACTTACCTTGTTTTGCTCTTGCCAGACCTGGTAACTTGAAAATAGTTGAAACATAGTGGTATTATCTTTCTAATTCCTCCATTGAAGAATTTTCATTAATATAGAATGTGGAATCCCACTCGGAAAAAAGTTTATACTATTTGGAGAAATTGTTTGATATTGTTAAGTGTACTAAAAAAATTTAGGATAGTTTATTCAGACATATATTTCTCTTGCGCATAAATTTATTGTTAAATAGAATGTCAAAATTTTAGTTTCCAAGCAAATTTTGCTAGTTGATAAGCATATTATCTTTTTTTTCTTTTTTGACATTCAATATATGCCGTATTTTGCAAATTTTAATTTGACTTGCTCAAACAGTTTTTTTAAGCCAAGAAAAGCCTGGATTCAGTGATAAAGACCCAATAGCCCCACCCAAAGGCAGCCCATAAACACGGTGAAAAAATTCCTATCATTATGGAAACTTAACTATTTGGAAATATCTTTTCACTTGCAATAACATCAAACAAAATTTAAAATAAGATCTTCAGAGAAAAAAAATTTTTAGGCTAAGAAAGGAGAATCCTTATCTCCCTAGGATCCAAAAAAATATTTTGGATTGGCTATGAAAGAAATTGTTTATTTAGAACTTATAAAAGGCCAAATATTACAATTAACTATAATGATTATGATATTAGTCATTCTTGAATTCCTAAAGAAAGATATTTCTGAAGCTTACTATATGCTCATGAAGTAAATTATAATAAAGAAACATATGAGAGTCATTCTCTCTTAATTATGCAGAAATTTTAAAGCTATTGCCAACAATCAATATATTCTTCTCACAATCATTTATTGCAAGGATCGAGGATTAAATTTCCTTAATGAAAAAGAATAATAATTCCTACTAAAGAAATAACTTTTAACCATTAGGGTTTTGCCGAAGTTATAAGGACAGTCTATTATTTTTCCCAAGTTCAAACTTCTTGACTGCTTGTATTGATGAAAGAGATCTACAAAGGAATTTTTCATGGTTTTATGAATGTTGGGAAATTTTGCGTAGACTTAGCCATCTTGCCAACATTTATTAAAGAAACTTATAAGCACTGGGTTGAATCATGCCTTAAAGTATTTTCAATCCCATCTAATAATTTAATTAAAAGCCAATTCCAATTTATTTTATTTATTGAATTCTAAACTTCATGGATTTGGTTGTGAAAAATTATTTTTGTTAGAGATCAATTAAACAAATTCCACTTATAAGAGAAATCTATGTTAAATGTTGGCCTCACTCTAAGGTCTAAGAAAAATTGCAATAAATATATTTTATAATTAAAAATAATCAACTGATAAAATTTATAAAATAATTCTTCAATGTAATTTGATCTAAGAAATTCAAGAAATGATTTGATGATGAAAAATTCTCATGAATCTTCTACAAGTGTGAAAAATAGATGATGAATGACTATTAAAAATAAATAGGAGTTATTGTTGCTCCATTATCATCCAAATGAGATATAATAAGTTACAATCATGATGAAGGCACGCCATCAATGAAGATTGAGAGTCTGATAGAATATAGTATTTTATTTAGATCTTGTGGAATTCTAATTACCTATGAATGAGAATGAATTAATTATTTTAGTACTCAGTAGAGTATAATCACGCTCTAATGGTTCCAAGAATATTCTCTTACTCCACTGCGAATAATCATATGATAGTCATTTTAAGGATTCTTGTAGGTAGAATAATCTAAAGACAACTTTGAATGACTACACTTATGGTGACAATTTTGGTAGAAAAGAAGTTTCTTTGCTTGCTTTCTATCATATCTAGAGACCATATTTTCTTCCTTTTGTAGAAGTACGCCTTCTATAAATATTGATAGACAATTCTATATGGTGACAATGATATAGGGAGAATTGTACCTTATGGAATCTTCCTATATCTAGTAGCCATGGTTGTCCTAAATTTTCTATGTGGGCTATTCTTATAGCAATTATTTTTTTCTAGTAGGCATTGCTACTCTTTGGCCTTTTGTATTCACAAGTCTATGGGATTATGCATGGATTTAATTGAGGTCCATCATTCTGACAGACTCTTATTCTTCACGGATGATGTATTATGTAGTCCTTCCATCCTCTATTTTGGATAATAGAGGAGTTGCCAATAACTTAAATAATTTTTTTTGATAGTTATCATTTGTTATTTACTTTGGAATTAAGGTTCATGAAAATATTTCCTCATCAACTAATCTCTAAAATTTTTTAGAGAAAATTTTGTCAAATGACATTATTTGATAATTTTTAACTTTTGATTATTCTTAATTCTAGACTTATGCGATTTACTTTTTCTTCCGACTTTAATTTGATGCTACTATTTTTAACATGAATTGTCTTGGCAAATAGAGTCCATGTAAGTGCTCTCTAGCAAGAGATGAAATTCCATTACTCAATCCATGTAATTTGGCTCTCAGTAAAGAAAATACGACTGATATTGGCCTTTTAATTTATTTTAAGATTCGATTGAAAAATTTTAAAAGTAAATTTAAACTATTGATTCTAAGTTTGTTTAATAAATGCTAGTTAGATGGTTGAATCGGTGTCAAATTTTTCCCACTAATAATGTAATAATGAAGGAATTGTCTTAGTGTTGATTTCTTTTATCGTTAGAAACATATAAGAATATTTGCATTTGGACTTTCAATGTAAAATGGCTTTCATCAAGCCTGCACTTAACGCTAATAATTGAAAGTTATTTTTAGAACATGTATTCTTTTTCTTTTTCCTTTTTTTTTCATGCAAGGTATTTAATCCTTGATCCTTGTGATGAAGAGTTTTATGGAGAGTATTTGAATTGTAGGCAAAAGGCTTTATTAGCCTCATTAATATTGTGATTGACTTTGACTTATACACAATTGAGAGAAACAAGAATTTTTTATTTTCTTAATTTATAATTTAGTTCTTTAGAATATGAGAAGTTTACCATATATATTTTCTTAAATAGTCCAGAAAAGTTTAAAATCTTTATTATTTCATATGAAGAAATTTCGATTCGTCTTTTGTAATTTTTTTCTTGTAGCAGACATATTATAATTATTTCTTTATTAAGTGACGTAATGTAAATTTTTAAGAATTTTCCATATTTAGTGTTCCTAGCAATTTTTGAGAGGGATATTTGGCAAATGCCATTTAACATGCTACAATTAAATGGCAGGGGGCACAGCTTTGATTTACATGCACATAATTTCTATTATTCTTATTTTTTTCTTATTTAACTAGGGGAAGCATCTCTACTAAATTGTACTCTTAATAATATTCTATGAAGCTGGTGTGTTTTCCCTATTTCTCTCAGTTTTGGCAAAATTTTTGTGGCTGGCTCTCTTTAAAAATGGCCTACTAGTTTTCCATTATATTTCTCTCTCCCTAATATATTTACATCGTGCTCTTCTTTGCATTGAAATAACTTGGCATGTTCATTTTCTTCATTTTCCCCATAATTTTTTCTCAAGTTTCATTCGGTTACAGTTTACAGATAAAATAGCTTTCAGTATTTACTCTTATCATAATTCTATAATTCTTATAATTGAATTAAGGATATTTAATTGTTATATATTCTTTGCAATCCTTTTTTTATGTACTTGATAGTACCATTATGCTCTACATTGATTTGAAATCTAAGATAAAGTTTAGTGCACTTATCTTTAATATGGTTTTGAGATGTATTCATGAAAAACTCAAACTGTCTGTAAATAATATATTTATTGAAGCAATTCATATACTTTTGTCAAGCAATTGCAGAGCTTTGAAAATCATCTAGCTTACCAATTCCCATGCACCACTCGGCTGGTTGCTAGTATCCCTATATTTCTACGGCCTATCCCACTGATTTTTAAGATGCTCATTATTTGACAATTGTATGATGCTTTTTGTAGGATATTGGATAATCTTCCTGTTGCATTTCCTAGACAAAGAAGAGATGCAAGTCAAATATCTAGTTATGAACATGGTTTTCGTGTTGGTTATAAAGACCACCAAGTTTCTGGGGTACGAGCCTCTTTGTTTCATTTTATGATTCATATCTTACCATAATTGCTGATAAAACTGTAGATTTTATGCAGTCCAAAGATGAAAAATTCTATATCAACAACCACTTGAGCTTCACTGTCAAGTATCATAAAGACCCGGATACAGAGGATGCTCGAATTGTTGGCTTTGAGGTTATCCCCAGCAGGTGATTTAACTTTACTGCTATTAAGAGTTTGTTTATTTGTTCTCAGCATAGGTGAGGGTAATAAAGAACATGATGAAGAAGTGCACTATGAGCAAACCATGAATGTACTTTGAATGCCAAGACATAACAACAAATTTAACTTCATTAGAGTTCCATTTGACCAATTTCTACCCCTAGGACATGAGAGGAAGTTATTGCTATCTCCTTCATGTAGGGAGACCTTGAAACTCCTACAAACAAATGCGTCTAGTACAAAATTGAGTGTAGTCTTATTTTCTGAAAGACCTAATGCCAATATCATGATCCTCAATTAATAAATTTTTATAGTCTAACACTTGATGTTCTTCATTTACCCGTGAATGTTTGAAGCAACAATGGTTGGGAAATTCTTAAAGATTGCTAATTGAGAGAAGGATTTCAGCCTAGTTTTCTTAACTTGGACATGGAAGACGAGGCCAAATTAGGATCAATAACCTACTTTTCTTCTGTTAGAACTGGATAACTGGCTAGAATTGTTAGTTTGCAAGGTTATTTGGCTCTGGTTGGGGGTGTTTGTCATGAGAGAAGAGAAGAATCTTAATCATTAGAGCTTGGTTGAAACAATTTGTTTTTACCCAATCAACAACAATGGTGCCCTCCACAGTTAAATTTCAATAAAAGGAATCAATCTGCTAAAGTGAGTAAATCAAAGTTGCCGTCAGACTCCAAAATTTGCAAGTAGCTTTGTTGAGATTGTCATAGAATGGACCGTGATCAATCGCATCGTGTTTAGAAGAGCAGACATTATCAGCTAGATAGGTTACTTATTCAGTTCATGATTAGTTCAAAATTGATGGTAGCATGCCTGTATTGAATGTGGGGAAGTAGTTTGACAGTTGGAGGAGGGTATTGAGTGGAACATTGAGCACAAAATGGAAGAAGTGATGTAAGAAATCCCCAAAGGGGAAAGGGGTGTGAGTTTTGGTTTCTCCATGTTGTGAAAGAGGGCTTGAAACACAACATTGACAAACTATGTTAAGTTGAAAGGCTCTCGGGAGAGAAGTATCGAGAAACCTTTAGCAAGGAGGAAGAAGGCACTCATCATCATCGTGAGGAGGGAAATAAAGAAACTCTAGTAGAACACTTTATTAAACAAATTGACTCTTGAAATATGTGGCAATGCTTGATCGAGGAATTTTAAAAAGAAAGTTGAAGCACTGAAATATTCCCATTGAATTGAACTCTGTTAGACAATGGGATCTATATCTTTTAGTAAAAATATGATACAAATCTCTTGAAGGAAACTGAACAACTAAGATGAAAACTAGTTTTGTACATCTACTAAGCCCAATCAAAAGTTGGGGGAAGCAAAAGAACGAACTGTTAATATTAATTAGTAGTGAAACATATCTACCTTGCTCACATACAACTAGACATTGTGTATTGCATTTGGGATGACTAGTCTATGCATGCAATCTACCTTGCTCACATACAACTAGACATTGTGTATTGCATTTGGGATGACTAGTCTATTCATGCATGATCCCAAAAAATCACATCAAGAAATTGTCTTTCATGTGCTGCACTACGTAAAAGGAAATACAGATAAAAGAGTTCTTTTTAAAGGGAATTATGAACTCAACTTAGAAGCCTACAAAGGTAAATATTATGCAGGTTTACTAGTGGACAAAAGATCAATATTGGGATATTGCAGACATTTCATTGGAAATCTAAAAATGTAGAATGCAGTGGCTAGATCTTAAGTTGAATCACAATTTAAAGCTATGTCTCGTGGAATTTGTGAACTATTATGAAAAAAAATCCTAAATGACTTGAGAACATGTGGGAAGGGCCTATGAAACTGTATGTGACAACAAAACACAAATAAAAATTGTCTAAGACCATTACGACACAATCGTCGAAACATATTGGGATTGACAGATACATCATCGAGAAACAATTGGAAGAAGTTTTAATATGCATAACTTATGTTCCCTTGAGAACTCAATAGGCAAATGTTGTTACTATAAATGACTAAATGGAGTAATTTTTCAGGATACCTTCTCTAAGCAGAGGATGAAAGAGATCAATAATCCAATAGATCCATGCCAAGGAATGGAATTCATAACTAATTAGGGGTAGAAAGCATAATAAATTTCACATTTAAAATTTATATATATATATATATATATGTATATATAATAGGGTTCATTTGTGTAGTTGTAGATATTTTCTACAAAATGTTAGTGCAGCGCAGAATTATGAAGGTTTTAGATTCTTGCCATTGTCATATTTGTTATTACACCTTTTGGCGATTGCATCATGTGTACAGTCAACACTATTAAAATGGCAGTCATGTTAAAACTTAAAAAAAAGTTGTGGCATGCATTTTCTAAGCTATTCGGCACGCATCAGAGGTGCTATCAAAGTTACTTAGATATGATTGTGAGATCTAGAATCACCCAGGATCGAAGAATAAGGCTCTAGATGCACTATAGATGAGGGTGGAGGAACCCCAACTGACATCTTTACCAGTACCTTATTCCTAGAGTGGGAAGCTCCAAGGCAGGAAATTGAGCAGGATGAAGGGCTGAGGAAGATCGGGGTAGAGTTTCTATATGATCCAAACAGTCATCCAAGATATGTATTGAGGGAATAACAACTTCCTACCAGGGATGATTCGTGTTACTGAGAGCGTCAGGGTACATCCACAGACTATTACATGAGTTTCAGGGCTGTGTTCTTGACATGCTTTCAGGGGTATATAAGACATTTAGTTGGCTGTTGACAGAGATAATTCTTTTCTATGCTTAAGCAGAATCTTTTAAAAATCTATTCATTAAACTTACATCTTCTTGTTGCTCATTGATTAACCTTATATTTCCTCTATCATTAACATATAATATATCATTTTCTTTCAATTGGTCTATCCTTTTATAATGATGATCTAATTCATTTATAGATTTTCAATTCAGTGGTAATTCTAATTCTGAAGCGAACATAAGATTTTCTTTCTCGCCATTAATTTTTTCAGTATTCATTAATTCCATATAAGTTTCTTCTTTCTCTTGAATTGTTGATTTGTAATATCTAAACCATATATAAAGACTTTTATCACGATTTTGGAATGTAATGTATTCAATAGGAGCAATGATATGGGATTCTTCTCTTAAAAGAGATATATTCTATTCTAATCTTGCCAATGTTTCTGTGTTTATTTTTTTTGGAAGTATAAATTTTATTAAATTTGAGGCCAAGGAGTCTATAATATTTTCTATTTTGATCTTAATTCTGGTTTTAATATTGGACGTGATTTTTCCCAGGAAGATAACAAATAAACAGAGATTATCACCTTGAAAATTTTTGTAACACTTTGTTTGAATCATTATCTTGACATGTTTTTTGAAATCCGATATTATCATGGTTATATCTATAACTATACAGGTGATACCAACATTATTATTCATATCCATTTCTATGATTCCTATCATAGATTCATTTGAAATATTTAGAATAAGTAATACTTTTCCTTTTCTTCTCTTTCTAGCCAGTGTTCTAATTCCAAATACAAATAATCCAAGATGTGTCTAAATGTGATTTTTCTTTTACTTTTTTTTTTAGTTCAGTCACAACCTCAGGAGTTATCAGGTTCATAATTATTTTAATATTGTCTTGACAATGCAGAGGTATTTCCATATGATGTCTAAATAATCCTGTGGAACTACTAAATTATCCATGTGAATATAGTCTAGTAGGATTAAGTCCATTTAACTGATCATTAGAGAAGACATCTATATCTTGGTTCACATCAACTAGCTCTTCAATTTTGAATTTTCTTCTGGAATTACTAGGTCTATCTGTTAATCTATCAAGCCAGGATGAAGTCAAAGAACTTGATTGGCTACGGATAGAAGGTCTAGCAACAATAGTGTGAGATGTTCTACTAAATGGAATTGTCCCTCTCTCCATCATACTTGAGAAATCTGTAACTCTTTCGGATCTTAAGAAATTCCTCAGTAGTTTTCCCAAAGACAAAGACTTGATATGTGTAATTACTTTGTCTAACTCACTTTCAATTTTTCTTGTGGTTGGAGTATTTTGAGCTAAGTTCAGATTACGTCATTCTATTGCAAAAAATCCTATAATGGAGATGACTCAACGATGCTAAGATAGTATTGTTTTGTTGAATTAGAATTTTATCAGATATTGATGCAAGATTTTCAGGTTTAAAATATCCTTGTTTACTCTTATTACTAGAGTTATCAGTAGAATATGTAACATCACATAGATATTCAGAGCATTTATATTTAATCTCACTAGTCATTAATTATATTGAAGCTCCTTTAATTCTTTTAATAATTCTTTTATTTGTTGGAAGTCCTTTTCTATTTTAATTTGCTTAATTTCAAAGTTATTAAGCAGTCGTTTGATTTTCAAGAACTTCTTGAATTCTGGGAGAATTTGCTATTCTTTTTTGAGTTTTGGCATCAATAAATTTTCCCGGTAATTCTTCTTTTTATATTTTTATGTAATTATCTGATCGATCAAAGATTTGTACAGGCCATTTTTTCCACTCAATTTCTTAGATATTGAAAGTAAACTTTCTATGTGCTTCAGTTGGTGATGATACAAACTTTCAGATAAGTTTGTCAGCAAATTGATTATAGTATTAAGCTGAGTTTGATCACTGTGAGTAGTATGAGGATATCTCTCTGATGCAAAGAAGCTAGTTAATGTTTTTTATCAAATGAAATTGTCTTTTTGTTATGATTTCCTATCTCAAGATCCAAATAGTTAAAGCGTTTCATAAACAGTACGTATAGAAAGAACACAACTCTGATACCTGGGTTGTGATGCACTGAGATGTTGAGGACATTGTAGCATGATGCGATGTATGCCAATGACACAAATATTTGATTATGTCACCAGGAATGTTACTACAATGCCTAGCTTTACCTTATAAAGTCTGGCAAGTGGTGATGATAGATTTTATAGAGGGGTTGCCACGATCAAATGGGTTTATTGTGATATTGGTGATAGTAGATTGCCCGAGCAAGTATTCACACATGATTTTGTTGTGGCACGCTTACATAGTTGTTTCGACTGCTAATGTTCATACGAGAAGTAGTTTATTTGCATGTGTTTCGGAATCCATTGTATCAGACAGAAACAAGGTGGTCCTCAGCCATTTCTGGAAGGAACTGTTCAGATTACGAGGGACTGTCTTGAAGAGGAGTACAACATTTCATTCCCACACAGATGGCTATGTGGATGTGGCCATTAGGAGTATGGAGATGTTCCTGCATTGTTTTGTATCAAATAGGCTGAAGCTGTGGGCAAGGTGGATTGCTTGGGCTAAGTATTGGTGCAACACTTCATATCGTACTGCATCCTAGACCACTCATTTCAGGATTTTGTATGGGTGGGAGTCACCTCACCTGATATACTATGGGAATAGACACCAATATCTAGTGTGGACTAGAACTTGGAAGGGAGGGACAAAATATTGATAGAACTCAAGAGATATTTATCGAGGGCTCAACAAACCATGAAAATGAAGGCTGATGGACATAGGAAGGAGGTACAATTTGAGCCTGGGGATACGATTTATTTGAAGCTGAGACCTTATCATTTGAAGACACTGGCCAGGAGAAGAAGTGAGAAGCTTTCCCACATTGTTTTGGACCTTATGAGATTATGGCATGCATTGGGTTAGTGGCATAATGTTTGAGGCTATCATCATCATCATCAATGCATCTGATGTTTCATGTTTCACAGTTGAGATGTGCTATTAGAGACCACACATCATCGTCTTCACTACCTACGACTCTAGTGGAAAGACATGAAGGTGTGATGGGAGCAGAGGATGTGTTGATTAAGTGGAATGATCTACCAAAGTATGAAGTAATGTGGGAGCCTTATAAAGTGATACACAAGCAGTTCCCATCATTCTATCTTGAGGGCAATGTGCTTCTTTGGGATGGAAGTATTTTTACACCATTGGTCCAAGAGGGACCGATCTGCACCCAGCGACCGACCCACCCCAGCTAGCAGCCAACTAATTGGGTCAGCATGAAGCAACGGAATGGATTATCACCTGGGAAGATTTCAATGCCCATGTGGTGCCCACCACGGCTCTAATCAGGTACGCGAGGAGAAGAAATTAAGGGGAGTTTTGGGGGGAGAGTTGAGGGGGGTTTTGGGGGTTTTATTAGGGCTAATAACCTATAATTTGTTTTTTTATGTTTTGGATTCTTGCCGTGCCTAGGGTTTGTGGAGAGACGGTCTTCCTCTCGAATTGTAGATCACACTTTTATCTTGTTTGCTTACTTGGATATTAGTAAAATTAGCCCTAATTTGAGCTTTCCTATTAATTTTTTGCAATTTATTCCATGTTTTTGGCTTCAATGCGCATCAGTTTTACAGTTGGAATACTTAGTTTGCTTCATACAATTTGTTCCTTTATACGTAAGATATGTCAGAGAGAGCAAAAATTAGATTCTAGACAAATTTCTTAATTTAGGGATCTGCCGTTTATTAAAATGTGGAAATAAAAGTAAGTTGACATAGTTCTGGTCATTGAAATTGTCTTTCTTCACTGGTTTAGAAGTCCTTCTAAACTTGAATCAATCTCTAATATATGGTGTTTGTACGTCTAAAAGTGATTAAAAACATTGGGACATCAAAATTGTTTATTCCAGCCCCTTTCTTTTTGCAACTATTGCTGTCAACAAGTTACGAAACATTCAAGCAAGCATTCCACACATGCAAGACAAGCAAATAAACATGCAACCATGCAATTCATGCATCCATCACATCCACATTTCATTAGTTTTCTTCTTTTTTACATATGCAAGTACTTTACATTGCATGAAAGAAAAATAAGGAAAAACATAAACATGAAGCATCCTAACAAATGGAATTAACACATGAATTATCCATATAGCTTTCATATGAAACTTCATGCATTTATTTTAAACATATGTACATTCACACACACATGTATGCGTACATATATCTATTCAAATATAAATACATAGGCTTAAAGTAATTTTTAATATACACACATACATATATAGTTGAAAATACATTATATAATAATTTGCATGCATATACATAAATATACAAAGATATTTGAAAAAGAAATGCCTTCTTGTACCTACACTTTTTGAGTTTGGAGGATTTTTTGTTGTTGTTTCATATAAATCTCATCTAGGACTTCATTGAAAAAAATTGTCATCAATTTATTGCATTTTTTTTAAGTCAAATTGTGTAACAAGTGTCTTGATAACTCTAAATGAGTCCATCTTAATTACATGATAAAAAATATCCTTATTATTAATTTTTAGCTGAGCGATTTTTTTAGCAACAAGTATTACTTTTTATCTGCCTATCTTGCCTAATGAGCATCTTTTTATATAATAAATACATTTATAATCTATGTTTTTTGCTCTACTAAACAACTCAATAAGATTCCAGATCTTATTACATGCCATGAATTTCATCTAATATTTCATGGCATCATATCATAAATTAAATTCTTTGATCTCATAGCTTGTGAAGTATTTTAAGATTATTTTCAACTCCAATGTTATGGTCCAACTCTTTAAGCTGCACAATATAGTTACTAGGAATTGGTGAAAAATCATTAGTAAACATTTTTAAATGTTATAAAGTCCGCCTATTGTGATGTTGATTGTTCAAATGGAAAGAACATCTCATGAATAATTGGATATGTTGGTTGATTATTAGCAACTTATATAATTCTAATTTTTGGTCATCTAACAATCAGTTGAACTAGAGGAATGTTATAAACAATAATCAACCTATCATTTGAAATGAAAGGTGGAGTATTAATGTTCTTTTTCAGCAATTAAAATTGTAATTTTTCTCTCCTGCTAATAAAGTCATTTTCAAAAAAAGATTATATTCCTCTATTCCAATTCCATAATTTTAGTGTTATCTGATAAATAATAAAATCTATAACGCTTACATCTCTCAGCTTATTTTATAAAAATTCCACTAACAATTTTTTGTCCAACTTATTATCATATGAATTATAATCTCTCACTTCACATAAGCTTGTGTAAATGTCGCAACTTAGTTTACAATTTTTTCACAATTTAAAAGATATTTTAGGAACAAAGTTGTTTGGCACTTGATTTAATATATATACTACATTGTTAAAAGTTTCAATTCATAAAAAAATTAGGTAATTTGCTGTACTATTTATGTTCTTCACCATGTTCATCAAAATTCAATTGATTTTCTTAGCTACATCATTCAGATTAGGTGAGATAAGTAAACAATGTGAGACTATCATCCCATTCTCTTAAGGGAACTTCGTAAATGAATCAGCTGCCTAGCTATCTTTAGTGTATCTCTTATAAAATTTGTCATTTTGATGCATTTTTCGTATTAATGTTCTACTTTGCCTTAAAAAAAGTGGTAGTCAAAGCAAGCATATCGATATTAAGTACATAGCAATAAGAGAATGGATTAAGAAGAATACAGTGGTCATTGAGCATGCAGACACTAACTTGATGATAGTTGATCATTTAACTAATTGAATGTCACCACAAAGTTATAAGGATCATATAGACCGTATGGATTTTGTTCTTTCTAGTTGGATTCATTATAAAATGAATATTATTAGTGATACTTATATGATTGTGATGCCTTTCAGATTTTTTTATTTGTTATTAATATGATAAACATCATTGAGTTGAATCCCAAATAAATATATGATTTCTTCATTTAAGGGCGTATGAATGATAGCCATAATCATTATGATACATAGAATATAGTACTCGCTCTTAGAGAATATATCATCATATTCTTTGAATTTTTTTCTTAATATAAGAATAAAAAATATTTGGATCAAATCAGAGAATGCTAGTTCTCGGAATTGAAATCTGTTCCAAATTTTGTTTCCACTAGTATGAAGAACGTTGAACAGTTTCTCTATTTTTTTAATAGTGCAAGCAAAATTTTGGATAATTTTAAGTTATGGAAACTAAAAAAATCCAGCCCATTGACTATCCTTGTGAAATTATCAAGATTTGAACCCCCTGCCAGTTTTACTGTGAAAATTTAGAAGATTATAATTTACCACCAGCTTGATTTCATCTAGGAAGGCTATTATGCTTTCTGAGTCTGGTTCTTATTATTGTCAACTTGTTGCTTCTGGTTTTACGATGCTATTATGGGCATTGTTATTTGTGTTTATTGATGTTGGAGTATACATTTTCATGTTGAATTTTACTCTGGTAAATTATATAAGAATTTTACTCTGGTAAATTATATAAGCTTTTCAACTTTTGGGTTGATGATGATTAGCATTACTACTTTCAAAGGCTTTCTTTCTTGTGCTAAAATTATAATAAGAATTTTTGTATTGCTTTTACCAGCTTATTGGCATATCGAAGTTCATCAAAACATTGTAGGATGTCTACGTTTTCCATAGGATTGTAATGTTCAACTTGTGAACTCTTGCTTCAAGTTGGTGAATTTTTTCATTGAGATCTACATTTTTTGTTGTTGTTGTTGTTGTTGAAATCCAAAAATTTTGCTCTAAATATGACTTTAGAGATGGCCTTATGCACCGGCCACCTTGTCTATCTAACAAACCTTCATACAGTTTCTGAATGTATTGCCTCATTTATGCTGCTAAATGAGCCAACTAGTGATGGAACTGTTGATCCATTTTGCTATGTTTTATTAATTTAATGCTTAATCATCCTGTCACCTCATTTTGACTAAATCGTCTCTTTAACAGTGTGCATCATCAATACAAGGACTGGGATGATAAGAATCCTAGATTGTTGACATGCAATCCAAATACCAAAATTGCTCCTGGCACTCTTACTCCTCAGGAAGTAACTACTGATGCATATATTGTCTTCACTTATGATGTTATTTTCCAGGTATTGACAGCATCTTCTTTCCTTCCATCCAAAAAAAAAAAAAAGGCTTAATCGTTGGCTCGGCTTCTTTCAGCCCAGCGGACTCAAATGGGCATCTCGTTGGGACACTTACCTTCTGATGAATGATGATCAAATCCATTGGTTTTCCATCATAAATTCCTTGATGATAGTCCTTTTCCTTTCTGGAATGGTTGCTATGATCATGATGAGAACTCTCTATAGAGATATAGCTAACTACAATCAGTTGGAGACTCAGGATGAAGCCCAAGAAGAAACTGGCTGGAAACTAGTCCACGGTGATGTTTTCCGTCCTCCTGTTAACTCCGGTCTTCTCTGTGTTTACGTCGGAACGGGTGTTCAGTTCTTAGGAATGACCCTGGTGACCATGATGTTTGCCTTGCTTGGCTTCTTATCTCCTTCAAATCGTGGGGGTCTCATGACCGCCATGGTTCTGCTTTGGGTTTTCATGGGCCTGTTCGCTGGCTATGCCTCCGCTAGGCTATATAAGATGTTTAAAGGCACAGAATGGAAAAGGATAACCATGAAAACTGCATTCATGTTCCCCGGTATTGTATTTGCAATTTTCTTGGTTCTAAATGCTCTTATCTGGGGTGAAAAGTCTTCGGGAGCTGTTCCCTTCGGGACAATGTTTGCTTTGGTTTTCCTTTGGTTTGGCATATCGGTGCCTCTAGTTTTTGTGGGCAGTTATCTTGGTTTCAAAAAGCCAGGAATTGAGGATCCAGTGAAGACCAACAAAATCCCCAGGCAAATTCCAGAGCAAGCTTGGTACATGAAGCCAACATTCTCTATGCTCATTGGCGGCATACTTCCATTTGGTGCAGTGTTCATTGAATTGTTCTTCATTTTGACATCCATATGGCTGAATCAGTTTTACTACATATTTGGTTTCCTCTTCCTGGTCTTCATTATTCTCTTCATCACTTGTGCTGAGATCACCATTGTTCTCTGTTACTTCCAGTTATGTAGTGAGGACTATCACTGGTGGTGGAGGGCTTACTTGACTGCAGGATCCTCTGCACTGTACCTCTTCTTGTATGCTACATTCTACTTCTTTACGAAGCTCGAGATAACAAAGCTCGTCTCGGGGATTCTCTACTTTGGATATATGCTGATTGCATCGTATGCTTTCTTCGTGTTGACGGGGACGATCGGCTTCTATGCCTGCTTCTGGTTTGTCCGAAAGATTTATTCTTCTGTGAAGATAGACTAATTTTGGACGGCAGGCCTGAGATTCTGGTTTGAAAGGGTTGCAGCAGAAAAAGGATGTTAGTAATGGCGCCTGCAAGCGTAGTTAATATTTTAAGGGGCCATTGTTGAATGTTTGAACTTTGTGTTTTTGGCTATGTATGAGGGAGCTGCTTTTGTTTCTAGGTTTAATAGATGCACTCTTTTCTTTGTATTATTACATCAAGTAACTAAACTGTTTTGCTTGGATTGTAACATAAACTAATTAAACTATAAATGGAGGTTTTCTGACAGCAATGCCCATGATGTTGAATGAGTTGGACAAATTTTACGAGTTAAAAGAATATATTCACCATTTATTGAACCAAAAATGCACTTATGCTATGATTATTTATTTGTTTTAATTAATATAAGATATTAGAGATTTAATAATGATGATATATTGTGTTTTCATATAAAAATAAGAGCGAAAAAACGTATCCTTCATCAGTACAGCTTTGTCTCTTTCAGGCTTTGGGTAAGGAAAAAAAATTAATTCATGTTATAAGTGGCTGGTTTATGGTCAAGTTTCTGCTACTGTATATATATGGTTTAAAATTATTAAATTTACTCTTAGAAAACATATGAAATTCTAATTAAATTTTTTTATCACTCATTTGAAATTTTTTTTAAAAATTGTTTCAAGGTTTAACTTTTGAAAACATGTTTTGCACCACTTTTTGTCTCACCTTTGGCCGAAGGGACTGATTATTTATGAGAAGGTTGACATCGACGACCATTCTCCGGTGGTAGATAAATCACTATCATCACCCCCATAAGATAGATTTTACATTTTGAAGTGGTATAATTTTGACTGTGTGTATATAAAAATTGATGTGATAGCACCAGACCCGAATCTAGGCTTATTCATCTCTAAATTCCTCCTAAAGCTTGAAAGCAATATGGATTAGCACAGAAAGCTTGTTAGGAAGTCTTTTCTTTGAAGAATTGAACAAAACTCAAATTTTTGTAGATCATTAAAACAAGAAGACTATTTGAAGTTCAGATGAGAGTTGATAGAATACCTACTAGGTCACTTTACTCATATTTGACTTTGCCTATTCTAAATCAGAATTTTCATCTTTTGCATTCTAAAAATAAAGTATTTTGTTAAAAATGGGTACACCCTAGCCTTGAAATGATGAGAATTTTTGTTAGGCTTTGCGTTAAATTTTCAGACGGTAGATTAGATTGCAAAGAAAACACTTAGAGATTTCACTCCCATTTTACAATGATAAGATCTGAGGCTTGAGGCTCTTGTAGGTGCAGACTTATAGGTTAATCTCCTTTCTCGATAACGAGAGAGTACTTCTGATTAAGACTAGTCATTGCGGAGTTGATCACTGAGTATAAAGTAGTGGCAATTTAATTTTTAGATTATAGAAATTAATCATCATGAGCGTGGAGTAGATTGTGAAGGGAATAACGACAAACCCAATCAAAATCCCATTATTTTATCTTTTTAAGTATAGTTCTCTAGTCTACTTATTCGAAGGAGGTAGTTGACCCAAATTGACAAAACAATCTTTATCAATAGTCGTGTTTTGTTTCATTGAAGCGAATCTTATAGACTTTGGGTGGATGTTTTTCTGAAGAGGTAAATCCAATTTGATCTTTGCTTATAAAAAGTTATGTTAGATAACATATATTCTATGATTCACAACTTAAAGGATCAAAAAACAATTGAGGAATATGTGAGCTACAATTGTGTTTATAATATATTGGAGTTGTTGAGCCATACCACCCAGTTAGAGGGCTTTAGTGGTAAACACTATATCTGTGGAGTTGTTGGACTAATATATGGACAGAGGACTTCGACCATGACCTTAATTTTTATGATCAGACCTAATGCTTCGAGTTAATTAAGGTGCAAACTACGGTCAGATGGTATTAATATTTCATTTTAATTTCCAAATAATTATTCAGAAACTTCCAATATATAAAAGAGAGAATAATTCACAAAGTGCAATAAAGTTGAAGCATCGAGAAACAACAACATAATCAAAAGGCAATATCCTAAGTGAGTACTAAATATATGTTAATATCTTAAGAAAACAGTACAAAGAAACAATCATCATAAATAACTTGCAATAGAAGCCCTCCTGTAAACTAAGACTCTCATGCCAGACATATTAACCTAAAGCTTTTCTTTTCTTGAAAAAAAAATTAATTTGGACTATAAGTTTGACTTAGTGAGTGAATATAATCTTTACATGCATTAAATTATCATTCCAGTGCTATGCATGAATGACAAAAAAACATTATTTGTTTCTTTATAAAACTTTAAACTTTCATATTTAATTTATCTCTTCTCATTTAACTTTTAAGTATTTATCATTCTTAACATATTTAAAAGTCATAACATGATTACTATCATATGCGAAGGTATCTTCAATATGTACCCATATATATCCTAAAACATGTACAAGAAGGGACCTTCAAATTGTACTTGAAAGCACACTTTTACTATTTCCTTTAACGCACATGGTACATCATATTTTCTGCAGCACCATCTGCCGGTAATCTTGTATGAGCTAACATTTATATTTTCATTTCATATTAATTAATTTAAAATCTTTCAAAATGTGCATTCACGTGTCAATTATTTTCTTCTTATTTATGATACCATTTTAGACTTTCAAAATGCGAGATATGAATGAAATACTTATTTTAAACCATTTAATAAAAAAATTATTCATTTATTAAAACATCAATTTAATCACAAAAGAAAATAATCATTCACCTTGTTTGATGTGACAACAATTCTAAATTTTAAATCTTTTGAAAAAGAAATTCGTCAATCTCTGGCAATACAAAACACGATAATAAATTTAGTACTTACATTTGTCCCTCTAAATATTTTGAAAACTAATAAAACCTTATACATACATTTTCTTTCTTCTTTTAATAAAGTTCACAATTTATTACAAAGCAAAGCTTCCTCGATTATTTAATATCTATCATTAATATAACTCATTATTACTAATAAAAAAAATGTTAAATTGAAGAATTGTTTATTAATTCAATAAAAATCATAAAACAATTTAAACACAATTCAATTTACTATTTAGCCAAAAATTAAAACTTTAACTTGCCTATTTGGTCAGACTAATCTCCTTTCTTATATTTAGAGTTCTGATTCAATAAAATATTGCATTAACTAAATAATACGCCCTCACACACATATATAGTAATTCATAATATAATATATTTACTTATTAAAACATTAAACCACCCTACCCTCGTTCACACGATCGGCTTAGGAGAGGAAAAAATATTATACCGAGGTGCAAAACTACATCCGAAGTCCAATAAAATCTTGGCATGTGTCGCCGTGTGCAAGCCACAATCCCACTGAATAAAAAATGAAAAAGTTCTTTATTTTAATGCGCGACTCGGCCTGAATCAACCACCCATTGCTTCGAAATTCCATTACAGTTTTTTTGTCAAGTTATTGAGATTTATTGTGGTGTTACTCGAGTGGTATTGCAGCGATTGTGGAGCTATTTGAGTGGTGCGGGGATTTTCTTTTTCGTGGGCTGGTGTTATTGCAATTTTTCGTGGTGTTATTGAGGTGTTATTTGAGTGACATTGTGGCGGCTGTGGTGCCATTGCAGTTTTTTGTGGAGTGATTGTGGTTATTTGGTGCTATTGTGATTAATTGGTTGTATTGCAGTTTTTTTATGGAGTTATTGAGGTTTATTTTTACATTTTAATTTTTACATACATACCTCTTGTATAACATAAAAAAATAACATCATTTTTATTTTTACGTACATACCATCCAATTCTTATACCACATAAGAAATATATACTCATTTTGGGAATTTACATACAAGAATTGGGTGGTATGTATGTAAATGCCCAAAATGAAAATATATTTATGTATTTCCCAACTCTTGTATTTACAAACCACCAAAATGAAAATATACAAAACATAAATATATTTTCATTTTGGGCATTTACTTACAAACCACCCAATTCTTGTATTTATATATCTAGCACTTATACTTTAATTTTTGCATTTATATCTCTAAAAATTTTTATATCACATAAAAATATCATCATTTTAATTTTTAAAAATTAAAATAAACCTCAATAAAACGAACGAACCCTATAATAACACTAAATAAACTCAATAACCACAAAAAAAACCACAATAATACTACAACCACAACCATACCACTCAAATAATATCACAATAAATTACAATAACACTTCAATAACTCCACAAAAATCACAATAACACCAAATAACCTCAATAACTCCACAAAAAAATCACATTAACACCACAATTGCCACAATGCCATTCAAATAACATTACAATAAACCTCAAAACACTTCAATAACTTCACAAAAAAACAATAATAACACAAAATAGCATCAACAACATCAAATAACATCAATAAGTCCACAAAAAACCCTAATAATATATTAATAAAAAAAAAACCATAATAACACCATAATAATAGTAGTTGAGAATAACACAATAGAGCAGTCGCAATGCCACTCATATAAAATCAAAATAATACCTCAATAATACTATAATAATACCACAACAATACTACAATAACACAATAATAACACTGAAATAACAACATTCGAAAATACCACCACAGCCCCACAATACCACTCAAATAACACCACAATAAACCTCAATAACACTAAAAAATCAAAATAACACTAGCCCACAAAAAAAAACAGGAATAACACTAGCCCACAATAAACCTCAATAACACCACAAAAAACTACAATAACACAACACCCGCCGCAATACCACTGAAATAAAACCACAATAAATCTCAATAGCACCTCAATAACTCCGCAAAAAATCGCAATAACTCTAAATAATCATAATAACACCAAATGTTTTAGTATTGTTATTGTGTTATTATGGTATTCATGTTGTATTATTAAGGTAATATTTTGGTTTTACATGAGTAGTATTGTGGCAGCTCTCTTGTGTTATTCTCGACTAGCATTATTATGGTGTTATTGCAGTTTTATGTCTACATGAATATATTTATTGAGTGGTCGGCATGCAAATGCCCAAAATGAAAATATATTTCTCATGTGATATAAGAATGGGGTGGTATGCATGTAAAAATTAAAATGATTATATTTTTTATGTGATTCAAGAATTGGGTGGTATGTATGTAAATGCCCAAAATGATAATATATTTCTTGAGTGATATAAGAATTGGGTGATATGTATGTAAATATTAAAATGATGATATTTTTTATGTGATACAAGAATTTGGTGGTATGTACATAAATT